GGTTCCCTGCTCATGGCAGGGGGGTTGGAACTTGATGATCTTTAAGGTCCCTTCCAACCTTAATGATTCCATGATTCTATGACTGGCCATACCAGAAAGGTTTACATGCTAATAAATTATGCTCTACATTATTACATACAAGGTAGACTAAAGACAAATGGGTCATAATAGTCCCACCCTTCAAATTCTTTCTCCTGCCCAGAAGAGAGTTAAGAGGAGGCAGGAGCTGAGCGGAGACTCCCCCACTGGCACACAGCTGCTCAGCTGTGCTGGGACCCAGCTCCCAGCTCCACAGCTCTAACAGACCCAGTGAAAGAATTTTTGTTTGAAATCTCTGCAACACAGAGTGGGCGAGTGAACAGGAGCTTCTGTGAAGTGCAACTCTGGTGTGGGATGGCTCATAACCTCAGCGTGGCACTGAAGTAAAGCCACACAGCAACTCAGTCTGCTGCTGGGAGATTGTGCAGGAACTGCCAAAGAGTGATGTAACCTGTTACATTCTAAGCATATCATGCAGAGGTGGCAGACGAGCAAAAACTAAACAGGACTGGGGATACTGAAAAATTACTGAGCAATACTCACTTTTAAATTAACAGAAGCTTAATAGGAAAGTGTTATGGATTGCACTGTAAAGTCTGCATCAAGTTACAGAAGTAGAGTAAGGAATTTTAAATTGCTCCTGCTTGTAAACATTGGGTAAGTGTAAAGTAAGCAGTTAAAATAACGTACAGTACCCCGGAGGAGTGGGGCAATTCATAGATTAACATGACAGAAAAAGCTTGTCAGAGGTCTTCACTCTCAGCCTCACAGACCTGGGTCCTCCTTGTGTATCTCAGTTTCCTCAAAAACTTGGCTGATCAGAGCAATAAACTGGTGACACTATTTCCTACCCTCTCCCTCAGATGATAACATTTAAAAGCATCTAAATCATAACTATATGTCCAGTGGTAGAATCCTCTCTTGTTGCTATTACAGTCTTTCTGCTCTGGTGTGCTTGCAGCCTGATTGCCCACCCTGTAACCATAATGACCTGAAGTGATGATCCACTGAATGGTCCTTGTGATATCAGGTGGCCCTGAGCACATGTTTCCAGCCAACCCTGGGCATAAACACTTCCAGGGTTGGGGGATATGCTAAGAATTCACTTTATATAACATGGAAAGTAAGAACTAACTCCTTAATACCTCTTTGCAGCTGTATGACCTACCTAGCTAAAACATTATTTTCAACTCAGTTTTGATGTTTTTGAGGCCACACACACATTCACACTCTCCTCAGCAATTCTTCTCCCTTCTAGGAAAAGGAACATAGACCCTACACTTTACTACACCTGTAAATTCAGCCAAATGCTTCTGTCTCTCTTGTACATGTAACATTAGTGTGACTGGTTTATACTACACCTGTCACAAAAACTAGATTTCTGTTCTTTTTAATTCAATGCAGTATTAAAACATTGGTATTTTTGGACAGAAATATTATATATGACTTTGTTTTTCATTTTCAGAAATTAGAAAAACTGAATCATGATGGCATTTGTTCATTTTCTATATATATGGCCTGTTAAGAAGCCATCTATTTTTTCTTTTATTGTAATATTTACAGTGAGATACTAAGGACAGAAGAAAATACATGATTGATATGCAATTGAGTATTTATCTTCATAGTATTATTGTTATTGACTTGGTCATCACACTTACTCTGAGAAGCCATCTAAATATTAAGAGTGCCATTTTGTGACACTTTGTTCAACATTATCAGAGTAGGAATATAAGGCCCAAGTTATTACTGTCATATGTGACCTCCACACATTTTACCAAATTAAACTAGTATAAGCAAAATTGTCAAGTACTTTCCACACAAGCTGCCTGGATGGAAACCCACTGAAAATATGAGACTTCTTTTAAAGGAGGGTGAGGTCTCCTCATAGTGGGCAGAAGAGGAGGTGTTTGAGCTAAACACAATGGTACCTACACTTGGAATGACACATGCAGTTTTAAAGCCAAGTATCAGTCACTACATAAAGCTAAGAAGAGAAGCCATGACACAGTTGAAAAGGCTGAGACAACATGAAAGATGGAAGAGTGTCATTATTAGAACAGGAACATGCCTAAGACACTGAAAGTATTACAGACAGTCTTAAAAGAAAGTATTTTAAAGTCTTATAGCAACAGCCATGTACTCTCTGATCCTTGGTTATTTTTCTCAGCAAGACAGGGACAGTGAACAGACTTTAGTAACAGTCTCACACCTCTCTGTTCTCCCAAATCCTCACCCTATTTTCCTACCTCAGTAAAGCTCTACCAGAACCCCAAATGTAAATCTGGGGAATTTGATCCAGCCATCTTATCCCTTCACAGAGATAGTATGAACACTTCTAGCAGAGGAAAGAATATGATTGAGAAGATAAAATATGATTTACTGAATTAAACAGAATGTTACAATCTTTACAAATAATTTAACAGATACAGATTAACAGGTCAAAACCAGAGGTAGGCCAGAGCTGTAATTTAAAAAAATCTTCAACCAACCAAACAAGAAAATCCCCCCAAAACAAACACCACACTCATTTAAATATTAACTAGATCACCATTATAAGTTGCTGTGAATATTAATCTATTTTTGAGTAGCTAAATCCGTTTGTATTGCCTGTATGATGCCTCTTAAGTTAATTTATATAAAGTGAGGAGACATTAAAAGGAAAGTTGTACCCTACTCTACATTGTGGCCAAATCAGAGGTTTCTGACTGTGGGGAGAACTCCAGACAGAGGATGCTCAATAGGTCATGTTGTTACTGTGTCTGGTACCCACACCCTGGGTAAGGCAGAGCTGAGGGTACCAGCAGCCAAGGATCCAGGTTCCAAAGACATCAGGAAATCAAATGGCTCATAGTAGGAGCAAGGAAGGCCCCAACTGAGGTGCTGGGTCAGCAACCAGGCAGATCCTCTGCAATACACGGACAGCCTGCTCTGCCTCCATCTTACAACTTCCAGAGTGGCCAGACACACAAGGTTGCTTTTATCTAAGAAAATTAGACACATGTTCATCGTCATTATACAGATTTTCTATTATTTCCACTGCTGCTTTATGCAGGATACTGATTTGGTTTAGGCTTGGTGTGTTTGTTTCTTCTACTAAGTATTTCAAATTCACATCTAATATTTTTGGACCAGAAGCCTGATGACAACACCTTTGGCTTTTTTTATTCAATAAACAAGGCCTCAGAAAAATCACCATATTACAGTGAATTTTCTAGTGCCCTGTACTATTTAAATCTCCTGAGAGGACTCAAGTGACATGAACACACATTTCAGTGAGGCCAGCTGGAGCAGGGAGAGCCCACCCTGGGGAGCTGTGAGCCCCATGCTGTCCCACAGCTGTCAGCACGCAGCACCACATCCCTGAGCAGGGCCCCGGGGAGCCAGGGTTTGGTTATGTCATACTAGGTGATGACAGGCATCCTGAGGTTCACCAGCATCTCACAGTTCCTTGGTTTGATCTGTCAATAGCTTGCTTTAAGCATCATTTTCATAGCTGGAAGCAGCCCATCTGAAGGCTGCTCAGGCTTTGGGCCTCCACCCACCCTTGTCAGGGCTGCAGCCTCTTGTTCTGAGAGCTGGATCCCATTCCCAACATTTATTGGAGAAAGTTGCACTGGGCAAAACTCTAGATGTGGAAAAGCAGCTTGCTTTAGTGAGAGAATACAAGAACAATGCTCAGCACACTTCATGCCCTTGAAGATACACACCCTTACACTCCTCGAGATCAAATTTCCCACATTAATTTATGAAGAAATTTCTGCCTCTTTCAGTGATGAGGTGAATGGTGGGTCTGCATCAGCCCTTAGATGGAAGATGCCAGTTGAATATAACTTGAAGAGAAAGCTTTAAAGAGCTTTATTAAAACCACTGAAAAAACACAGTTTAAAACCTATAATTAAAAAAAAAAAAAAAAAAAAAAAAGAAAAAGAGAGAGAGACCTGATTTCCTTATAAAAATGATGGAAAGGATCTCTTTTTTGGCATTTTCTCATATTAAGTTCAGACTACAGAGCCTTTTTTAAAGAGATGCACCATATACTTCTTTCAGCTGTCACTTGCAACTGTTTTTTCATGATCGTTTGCCACTACTGACTTTCTGTTTCTGATAACTTTCAGATGTTTAAAGGATTTGAAAAGGTCAAGGATGTCCAGTATGTCTACACCCCCTTTGATTCGTCACTCTGTGGAGTGAAGCTAGATGCTAACAACAAAAAACAGTATCTTTTGACAGGTAAAAAACGTCACAAAACTAATGTACCTACAAAACCAAAAGTAACTGCTTAAAATTGACTTTGCACAAATATGCCAACCTTTGTTAAACAAGTGTACTAAATGATACAAACACAATGCAATGTACAAGCTGTGTAAAGCTGTAATTATACCCTGATATTACGTGTTCTCCATCCTCCACCCAACGATCTTAAAGCAGCTTCAAAGGAAGTTGCAGTCAGTAGCCATATAATTAGTAAATAGGAAGTATGTCATTAGTATTGAAACCCAGCAGTGCTGATTTTCCCAGGAAGGCAAACATATTTAATGACACACCACCTGCCTCCGTGTGTGCAGATATGGGGCTCTAAGCAATTACAGATTTTTCCAGAGTCCTGAAATCTAGTTTAAGATCCTATTGCATTTGTATCCAAGCCTTGCTGGCAGATTATCAATACCTTCTGAAAAATACCCTTCTCCAGTCTTTAGCATTTATCCAGCTTGCAATCAGCAGAATAGTTCTCTCAGTTACAATTTACCCTTCTTGAAAAGAGTGTGAAACGTGACTCATCTAGGACAATTCAAATATTCTTGCTATTTAGAAAACAGTTTTATTTGCTTGCCTTATTTTTCTTATTTTCCATGCTGTAGGCCAAATCTTAAGTGATGGTAAAGTTCACATCCATTTATGCAACTACATTGAACCATGGGATGATTTATCCTTGTCTCAAAAGAAGAGCCTCAATCAGAGATATCAGATGGGCTGCGGCTGCAAGGTGAGTACAGAGGGAAACGCTGTCTCATGGTGGGGCAGTGATGGGGTTTTTATACACTGTGTATTTCGTGTTGGTGGAGGATGAATAGTTAAAAGAACTGGAGAGTTGAGCGGCGAGAAACTTGATGAAATTCAACAAGGGCAAGTGTAGAGTCTTGCATCTGGGGAAGAACAACCCCATGGACCAGTCCAGGTTGGGGGCTGAGCTGCTAGAGAGCAGGGTAGGAGAAAGGGACCTGGGGGTCCTGGTGGGCAGGAGGATGCCCATGAGCCAGCAATGTGCCCTTGTGGCCAAGAAGGCCAATGGCATCCTGGGGTGCATTAGAAAGGGGGTGGTTAGTAGGTCAAGAGAGGTTCTCCTCCCCCTCTATTCTGCCTTGGTGAGGCCACATCTGGAATATTGTGTCCAGTTCTGGGCCCCTCAGTTCCAGAAGGACAGGGAACTGCTGGAAAGAGTCCAGGGCAGAGCCACAAAGATGATTAAGGGAGTAGAACATCTCCCTGATGAGGAAAGGCTGAGGGAGCTGGGTCTTTTGAGCTTGGAGAAGAGGAGACTGAGGGGTGACCTCATCAGTGGTCACAAATATGTAAAGGGTGAGTGTCAGGAAGATGGAGTTAAGCTTTTTTCAGTGATGACCAGTGATAGGACAAGGGGCAGTGGGTGCAAACTGGAGCACAGGAGGTTCCATGTGAAT